CGACGGGCATTACTAGCTGATATAGGTGCAGGTTGGAAAAGAGTAAGTGGTGGCCAAATAAAAACATGGCCTCATCACCAGGAAGGTGTAGACTTCCTGGTTGGGGTCTTCGGGACACTAAAATCCAGTGGCTGGAGACAATCGGTGATATGGCTCAAAATCGTTCTCAATGGCGCAGATGCATCCACTCCTTGTGATTTATAATACGCAATGAAACTATATTGTTCTTCGTTATTACTATTACTTTTGTCTTATATCCCTGTTTTGCATTTCTTCTCTTGCTTTGTGTGCTACATGGAGTGTGACGACTTGAACTGCTGCACATCAGAGCAAAGTTTTATGTTGAAATCAGACAGAACAGACATGCTACTACTTATTAGGCTGTTAATGGTGGTGTACACAGTACTTTCTTTTGGTGAGAACAAGAAATTAGAACTCCATTTTGTCTTAGAAGAGGCTATTTAAATACAATAGTTAAATTACATAACTAGGAAATGATGGTAACGAAGTAAATACTTCCCTGTTTCACCTACACTTAAGTTTTGATTACTGTATTATTATTACAACTTTAAATCAAATCTAATTTAACGTATTACTAGTTCGCCAGAATAGCTAGACACAATTCAGGTAGTTTCAGCTGATGAGATCAGTCTCAAACAAGCGAAACAAATATCCAGTGTTCAGATCACTTTGATGCAGTTAGCAAGCGTTATTGGTTGATATGCATGGTGTCTAACTACTCATATTAGTCAGTCAGTAGTATGTGGTGTCGTGCATCATTAGTTAATCTTGAGCTGTACTTTCATTTCCTTGGGGGTAAAGATGATGACTAGAATACCGTTGAGAACTTTCGCTTATAAAAATGTCTCGGCTCGGATAACACTTCTACTACTAAAAGATTTATACCCTGAGATCCAGACAAGTTTTTTCACAGTGATTATACTGAAACCAAGTGGAACACTGCATCTGTCTCTTTCATTGTGAGGAAGAGCATAGATCTCCTTGCTGTATATGGGGATTATAGTCTTAAATGTAAAAGAACCCCAAGTAAAATATCTAATCTAATTAGAACTAAATAAGTAATTCGTGTTATGAATCATTACATATTCACGGAGACTCATGGCAAAGTATACAACCGTGTACCTGATTTCAGAGTCACACCATTTGATGACACTTATCGAGGAAACTAGTCAGACACGTACAGATCAGAAAGGATTAATAAATCAGACAGCACAACATGATTTTGTTTTTTCAGAGATTCAATTAAATCTGTAAATATGCATTTTCATTCTTTATAGAATTCCACCGAAGACTCTTGAAGTACAGTCAAGTTTCTTTACACATTTAAAAGATTACAAGTTATGATAGTCAAAAGCATTTTGAAAAAAAACTTTAAATCAACTCCATAAAGACCAATAATTCAATGTCTTTGATTGACTTTCCGCAGCACACTTAATAATGAGAATTGAACTTCAACATGAAAAGTTTCAATGAAAATATCACAGATAACTTTAGACTACTTGCAAGTAGCGTGATTGGCACACACGAAAAATGACTGCGTCAGTTTCGAAATGAGATCAGACAAGTGAGGAAATTTGATTAAAAGCAGATATATGATAAACTGCGTAAACTATTCACATGTTGCCAATTTGATAAGTAACCTTCATGCAATGAAGACAGGATTGCAGTTAAAACAAATAACCAATTTACAGTAGGGCTTAGACAGACAACATCGTATCCTAACGAGAGTGCCACCTAGTTATTGTAGGTACCTAGTTATTCGACCATCTTCATCACATAACCGGTGACCGGAACATACTTATTATCTGGGCGGCCATCGAATCTCACAGTTCCGTCAACAGGGCATCAAGTTACGAATCTGTGGATAGCTAGACTAAAGCTGGGTGTGACACGGATTTACCTTCAACTTCAAATGACATAGTGGAGCTGTGGCTCATTTAGTCTATCAACTTCAGTCAACAATAGGTCACGGGTTACAATCACGTCCGATCTACCGGGGTTAAGACAGGCAGATAGTATTACTAACTGTCGTGAAATAGGTATGACTCAATGACAACTCTATGGAATTGCAGGCGGTTGTTGAGTAACATTTCTTTTCAATTGGTTGACATCCTAAATTTCCAACTTTATGAAGATAGTCAGTTCCTGTATGAAGTTCACCGCTTTAGCTGGCATAGTTGCTTATATAACATATCATCAGGTCATTTTAATACCTCTTAGAGAAATTTAAATTATTACTAGTTAGCATCATCAGATCTTTTAAATGCACTAAATTAAAATCACAGGTTTGATAGCAGTGCTGAGTCAGTTTTGCGCTCAGCACTGTAAACAGTCTTCCTGATTAACAAAAGTTGCGTCTCTTGTATCACGCTTACACTCTCTACATGTGAATGATATTTTTCCTTCACTTACTTAACCTCAAGTAACATTTTTTACTGTGTACATTGATATCGCAGGTCTTTAATATGCCCGACTCAAAAAGCTATGAAAGCTGAACAGCCGTCAAATAAAATAATATCTAGCAAGAATATCAAGCACGCTGTCATTAGCCATAAGAAGACTCTACTGGATGACATAAACAGTTAGACACTGATTTTAAATGTCTTTCTAGTTTGGTCAGATAAACAGCTTGAGTAGAATAAAATCTATTTCTCCTTCTTTTGCATTCCGAGCGGAACATGGGACGTCAAGCCTAAGCTTCGCTAGTGTCTTTTATACGGTGTGGGGGTTGTTACCTCATGCCCAACCTTATCTCTTGAATTGGCTTACTAACCGGATAAGCAAAATTTGGGAATGGGTCGGTCGAAAATAGAACCCCAGACAACATGCGTAGTTGGCGAGTACTCTATCACTGAACCACCGACGCACGCGGAGAATAAAATGGTGCCCCAAGAGCCAACAACAACCTAGAGTATCACAATATAAACATCCACTAACTAGTTGGAAAATCTAGAAAAACTGGTCCATAACCCAGATAAATAAGAACAATCTTTGCGAAGTAGAAATAACAACAGTGGGTTCAAAGAACGTCGAGGAAGTATAGCAATTCACCTACATGCCACGCTTATCCTCAATTACTGACCAACAATAGTCTGGTTAAGGAAGTGAAATATGTCGAAGTTGTGGTAAAACTATGCACGTTTCGTTACCCAGGTTTAAAGTAGATAAAAAGATATTGACAAAATAAAATGCATCCATCTTGTCGCGCTCCATGAGTTGTTATTACATCATGTAAATTTGCTGACGGAAATTTGTGTACGAAATTAAATCTTCATAAAAAAATACCAGGGTAGACTTAGGACATAAGACTGCATAGGCGAATAACTATGAAGACGAGTAAGTAAAAGTGTTAAATTGAAAGTTCGGAAGCAAAACAGCTGGAGAATAAGATGAAACACGTAAGCAAATACATTTAAAAGCTTGTTTACTGATTTTTTTAGTAGAACAAAGGAACTGCAGCATGTTGGCCAATGACTTTGTTTTAGAGATGCATTTCACGATGTTGCGAATCACTGTGTAGTATTGTGTCTCAGACACGAACCAGGGAGTCATGAAGCATCAACAGATACAAAACAATCCTTCGTACCGAGCACGACGTTATGGGCAGATACTGTCGTAGCTTTCCCAACCAATGCGAGTGCTAACACGATTAAAAATTTCAACTGTCTAAACACCGCACGCGCTCACACAACTACCTAGATGCGCTTAATATTCGGCTACTCCCAATGGTTCACTTGCTAGAGTCCCTGGGTAACAGGCCACTGCTAGTTTCGCAACACTACATGAGATTCATCCGTACGCATCACATACCCTTCACACAAACGCTGGAAATCAAGATGTCTCAGCGTTGAGGACACTGAACAGTCTTTCAACAAGTAGCAGACATACACTACTACGAAACCACATCAAACCAAATGATATTGACGGGAATATCAAATAGAAATGAAAGAAATTCGTCTCACCTTCCAGCTCGTTGAGGGACTCCTAACAGCAGAGCCACCGATGGAGCGATTAACTTTCCGAGGGCTACTATAAGAGTGCTATCTAACACAATCGTTTAAATATACCACACACCACTGTAAAAACTGGCAGTAAATGCAAAAGATGACACCGATAGTCGTATAAAGGATAAAACCCAGCATTTCATTATAGGAATAAGTGCTACCGTGCATACACAGCCCACATCAAACCACATTACCATAAGTTATACAGCCTTAGTTTTCTTCATCACATGAATACCAACTAGGACGTAAACATTCTTGAAAATGCTTCAAGGAAACAGCTACTGACCCGAAGTATATCTTTTATTCCTCCAAAAAGACATCAACCATGTTTTGACGCTTACCATACCGAAATTGCCAGTGAACGTTGAGACACACAACTGATAGGTATGCAAAATATATTTTCTATATATAAGAACCAATATCACTTTAAAATTTCACGAAATAGCCCAATTCTCCTTCCAAAACAACAGTCCTTACATGGTAGTTGCACTGGATATGGACAGTGCTAAAAAGACAAGGATGGTGAGACAGACGCCAAAGTAGAAACTCCTAAGCAGTCATATAAGTTCAAGTTACCGCAAAACAGTGAATAGTAATATAATGGGTAAACAGAGAGGTAGACATATGTCTCAAATCTTATTACTTGCATCTATTTGCCATATGCCAAAGTCATCATCAGTAAACAAGGTGAGTATTGTTTGTGGTGCGATTTCATCGACTATCAACCATACAACAGCGGTATGACTTTTGGATAGGCGCTCAACTACTTCACCAATATCAATCGGTTTTATCCTGAAAATTCTGTGCAACAGCAGCACTACAGAGAGTTACACATATTGATGGAACTGAGATCAGGCCGTGAATTCATTATGCAAAAGTATTCATCCTGTACACTATCAAATAGTAAGCTTAACACCATACCCTTTGAAATGAGCACAAATACACTTTGAAAGTATAAATTTATTGGTCAGGGTTTTATTGAGCATTTTTCCCCTTTGTTTCTTTAAAAGGAACATCAGCAGGGCCGTACTAAGGTACTATATTAATCAAAAGAACATTCATACCTTATCCCACAATGTTTTAAGATCTCTCTTCATAGCATAAGCATCCTCACCGTCCGCATAATATTTAGGTTCGATATCTGAAACTCTAAAAAGGTAAATGAAAGCTAGACAAAAAGAGCCCTACACAAATTGTAGTGTCTTCTTGTATAACGTCAGCGCAGCTCTGTTGCTTTTCCGAACGTGCAAAGAGACATATCTGGCGTGAAAGTTCTCTACCATGGCTCGTGATGCAAGATTCATTAGGGTTTGAGCAATACCCAGACGTCGGTATGGCCGTTTAACAGCCAGAGATGTAATGTGTCCATATGGAACATCCTCTGGGTCTTCTTCCCTAACCAAATAATACAAGAAGAAGTAACCTACATTTTAGCCAAGACATAGCCAACTATCTCTCCATTATCAGTTTCTGCAACGTAGGAGAGTTGGGGCCAAGATAGGCCGTGATAAAAGTAATATTTCATCTGGTAATTTTCAGGCAAACAGTCTAGGTTGCAGTCCCTCATATTCAATAAGTCATTCGGCTACGGAGAATATGAAAATTAAGCGGGTTAAAGAGAACTACCCTTGCATTTCGGACATTCATATTCACCCCGGTTAGTTGGGAAGTGACCTAGAAACCAAAAGTGCCGGCGAACCTTTGGCCCTTAGCATTCAGTTCAACTTCGTTTGGCAAAATGAATTACCCGAAAGTTGCTTGGATTCTATGTCGAAAATACCTGGGACCACCCTTTACAGGAAAACTCTGAGAACTCTGGCTTCAAGCTACTAGAATCTAATATACTGGGACAGGATTTTTTCCACTTTATCGCAGAATTTTGACATCTAAATCTGATATTCGGTAAGGGCAGGTTTGATAAACTGACCTACTATACGAGAAGTATAAGGCATTATTAGGAATTCATTCCTATTAAAGCAGTGAAAATGCACAGTTTCATTTTATAACTTATAACATGAACTGCACAAAATCTGCATTCTGCTTTCTGCACATTAATGCAGAATGAGTAAGTGCCAACTGAATGGATTCCTAATAATGCCTTATACTTCTCGTATAATAGGTCAGTTTGTCAAACTTGCACTTACTGAATATCACATTTAGATGTCAAAATTTTGCGATAAAGTGGAAAAAATCCTCTCCCAGTATATTAGATCCTAGTAGTTTGAAGCCACAGTCCTCAGAGTTTTCCTGTAAAGGGTGGTCCCAGGTGTTTTCGACATATAATCCAAGTAACTTTCAGGTCATTCATTTTGCCAAACGCAGTTGAACTGAATGCTAAGGGCCAAAGGTTCGCCGGCACTTTTGGTTTCTAGGTCACCTCCCAACTAACCGGGGTGAAGATGAATGTCCGAAATGCAAGGGTAGTTCTCTTTAACCCGCTTAATTTTCATATTCTCCGTAGCCGAATGACTTATTGAATATGAGGGACTGCAACCTAGACTGTTTGCCTGAAAATTACCAGATGAAATATTACTTTTATCACGGCCTATCTTGGCCCCAACTCTCCTACGTTGCAGAAACTGATAATGGAGAGATAGTTGGCTATGTCTTGGCTAAAATGTAGGTTACTTCTTCTTGTATTATTTGGTTAGGGAAGAAGACCCAGAGGATGTTCCATATGGACACATTACATCTCTGGCTGTTAAACGGCCATACCGACGTCTGGGTATTGCTCAAACCCTAATGAATCTTGCATCACGAGCCATGGTAGAGAACTTTCACGCCAGATATGTCTCTTTGCACGTTCGGAAAAGCAACAGAGCTGCGCTGACGTTATACAAGAAGACACTACAATTTGTGTAGGGCTCTTTTTGTCTAGCTTTCATTTACCTTTTTAGAGTTTCAGATATCGAACCTAAATATTATGCGGACGGTGAGGATGCTTATGCTATGAAGAGAGATCTTAAAACATTGTGGGATAAGGTATGAATGTTCTTTTGATTAATATAGTACCTTAGTACGGCCCTGCTGATGTTCCTTTTAAAGAAACAAAGGGGAAAAATGCTCAATAAAACCCTGACCAATAAATTTATACTTTCAAAGTGTATTTGTGCTCATTTCAAAGGGTATGGTGTTAAGCTTACTATTTGATAGTGTACAGGATGAATACTTTTGCATAATGAATTCACGGCCTGATCTCAGTTCCATCAATATGTGTAACTCTCTGTAGTGCTGCTGTTGCACAGAATTTTCAGGATAAAACCGATTGATATTGGTGAAGTAGTTGAGCGCCTATCCAAAAGTCATACCGCTGTTGTATGGTTGATAGTCGATGAAATCGCACCACAAACAATACTCACCTTGTTTACTGATGATGACTTTGGCATATGGCAAATAGATGCAAGTAATAAGATTTGAGACATATGCCCACCTCTCTGTTTACCCATTATATCACTATTCACTGTTTTGCGGTAACTTGAACTTATATGACTGCTTAGGAGTTTCTACTTTGGCGTCTGTCTCACCATCCTTGTCTTTTTAGCACTGTCCATATCCAGTGCAACTACCATGTAAGGACTGTTGTTTTGGAAGGAGAATTGGGCTATTTCGTGAAATTTTAAAGTGATATTTGTCTTTATAGATAGAAGGTGTATTCAAAGTCTTACTGGTAGGACTCTAGGACTCCATATTCCTTTTTCACTGATTTGTTGTGCACCACTTATTACTGGAACCATTGACATTATCACTTTTTTTGGGATGAGAAGAAATATGGAGGTGATTTTTTTCACATCAAGCTGTCAGAATAAGCATGTTTTTTTGATATTGGATGTATCGTTGTGTTTTAGTAAATTTCTCTGAAATTGATTTTTCTGAAGCACAGGAAAGAATAATTTTCCTACACGCGTGCGAAAGTTTTTCCTTCTTAACATCTGCGAAGTACGACTGCGATGTTAAACTGGCGATCTTTCACTTATCGTAACAAATCATTACCATTTATATCAGTGTCGTTCTATGCCCAGTATGGGAGTTAAAATTAATTAATTCCTTCATTCGGGATGTCATCATGTGTTATAGATGTGAGAGAAGATTTGGGTGTAGCCATCAGCAATAGTTAAGTATATTAAGGCTTATAACCGTTGAAACAGAAGCATTCAGGTTTGACTGTAGAATTGTTTGTTGACACGAAGACTGTGATTTGCGGAGCAAACAAATATAGATAACCTCTGCCGTGACGTTTCCTGAATGAAAGAAAGGGCACTGACCCCTATGACACTTTATAGTGGGATTGAAATTGAGAGACTTCGATGCAAATAGCGACTGAACACTTACTGAACCTTGGATCACGAAAATGAAAAATAATCCGGTGTAGGGAGTCAGTGAAATTTCCAATAACACAAGAAAGAATCCGGGCAAAATTGTGTCTGAAGGAATGGGATCATGGTTTTGTTGTTGTTTATTCATGCTTTCATTGGTGGTGAACATTGGGTGGACTTTCACTTGAGTTTATTATTCTGATTTCGTTGGTTTCATCAACCCTTTTAGTATCTTTTTCGTTTGTTCTTTGACGAAAAACTAGAGCAATACTGTCCTGAGTATCAATTTGTGTTACACTAATGTTATCTGTAGGCTTTTCTAGCGTTTTTAAGTAACCAACTGTGAATCACATGATCAAGCTTCTGTGTAATTAACCTGCCATATTGGTTGATGCCTGGTCGATCAATAAATCTTCGACTTACCGTCTTTTACAACAAGTACTATAGGGATTATAGTATAGAGACTTATATTTTTATTCACCGTACTTTGTGCAAACATCAACATCTCCTCATCTTTTTGTACTAATTTACTGCGTTTAGTAAATCAACGCTGTTGTCGGACTATCTTGACTATCTGCTCCCAGAATTGTGGTGATTCGAGAAGCCGTGTCCGATATCTTTTTATGGACAAGCCCAATATGAGGAACGGCGCTTGATTTGTCCCAGCTGTACCGCATTTAGCTGCCTCGTAGTTATACATGTAAGCTTCGAGACAACCTGTCACCTATATTCATGGAGCAACTGTGGGGTATTTCCTGAAGGCCTCAACTAGAAATGGTGTCCTTTTCTGTCATATATTGATTTATCCCGCCTTACCACATCTAGTTGACTTCCTAACCTCATCCCTCTTAACTAGTCATTGGACTGCCACTAATGCCTTGCTAATTAATGGAGGAATAATACGACTATCGATAGCAGCACCTAGTTGACGGCATTGTTATGAAATCACTGAGATGCACAACCAAAGCACGGCGCCGCAAACATGTTGTTTTTCATTCAGGCGTTGATCGTTCGTAGCCTGGCTTCTCTTGTTTCAGTCAGCAGAGGTAGACAAACTGAGTGTTAAAAGGAAAACGTCTGAATTTCAGATGGATTCACGAATATCTTTGATTTCCAGAAGCTTCAATCGGCGTTAAATGTACTTACATCAGGGAACATTTTATGAGGACGTGAGTGACTTGTGTTATTAAATGTCACTAATTCGACCGCTCTCACTGCTTTTAATCAATTTTAGAGTGCTGAGCTCAAAGAACAAGTAGAATTGCTAAATACAAGGAATTTGAAGTGTGTACGAAATGTTAAAGCAAAGGTAGGAAACGTTATCACTTTGTGAATTCTGATGTGTCTGCCCACCTGCCTCCCAAATTTGGAAATAAATCTAGATACGGTAAACTCCTTTGGAGAACCTAACCAACAAAACGATTGTAATTCATCCGGAAAATATCGTATTTTAAGTGAACATTAGTACAGTGTATCTAACCGTTGTGGTTCCTGCTGCAATGCATTCTGTATTTCTTTACCTCAACGAACACTTAACCAGAATTTGTGGGTCAGTCGTTGGAATTTCGTAAAGAAACCCAACTGGACAACTACATTCTCGAGTTTTAAACGTGGGTGAGGAAATAAGTCCTAATTAGCGCTAAAATTTAAACCTCATACTCCAAGTTTCACTATGGTGATTAATATATCCACAAGACAAAACGGTCCTTCAAATGAGTTAAGAAGAACGGCATCGTCTGAAATGCCACCAGCATAATATATCCTCCTTCTGTCAGACTTTTCGCTTCGTTAGCTGTTAAAGAGGAAGAGAATCCCACCCGAACAATAAAATAGCTTATCTAATGCCTTGACCCGAACTAAAGTATGCAAGAGAAGTAAAAAAGGGCGAACGTACCAAGTGTAACACCTGCTGGTTTGTTGTCGCAAAAAGGGGCACAGACTTCGAATGAGACTCAACGGTCCTACCTATATATATGCATATATATAATGAATCTATGTTACGAAACCCTTTTCTTAGTTCTGGTATGTCTGTTTTGAAGTTTGTACAAATCTCGTCGTACTGACAGGCTGCTGAAGAGAGATAATTTAGAAACCAATTTTTCTATCAGGCTGATCACATAAATTGTAACGGGGAGGGTAACTCCTAACTCATGTCTTTGATCCATTTTTGACATGTTTGTCAGTGTTGGGATAGGCGCGAAAAGCTGGCCAGTGAGCAAGAGATTTCCTCGATCGCTAGACTGGAAACTCGTATGATGGAATGATGAGATCATTATATCACCGTTAATCGGACAAGACGACGTAAAAAGTGGTTTCAGCGCAACTTGTACGTAACCGGGACCATTAATAAAATAGTTGAATTGGTCAAAAAAGTTCAGTGAATAAGATAACCAGGGACAGTGATGAGTCTGTCTGCAATACTGCTAGCACGTGTGCTTGCCAACTTTGTTCGAAGTACCCATCATAACCCATGGTTGTTTCAGTGTGATAGTACCTATGATGGCGTGTAGCAGTGGTGTAGCCACTGGTGCTGGATTAGTCGATGAGGCATTTCTTGATAGAATCATTTAGTAGCTAACATAACGACTCGACTTTTGTGTGCATGAATGAATAGAAAGGTGAAGATAATCATTTTAACTAACAAAATTCCGGAAAAGATACAAGGTATAACCACAAAAAATGCCAAACATTGAAATAAGCTTGCTGTAACATGTATCACATGATTAGTGAGGTACTAGATATGTTTTTGCGCCATGCGCCTAAAGTTCAAATAGATACAGTCTCACAAAGTAGGAACGACGTCGTTAACTAGTTGCGTGATGAAGGTTGGTTACGAGCATGAGCAGCATTCCACACATTTTACAACAAATAGCCTCTTGGTGCAGAGCTAATGCTGAATATTTCATTTTTGTGTTGATAATGTTCAGCTGAGGCTGTAATTAATCATGGTTAAATGATTCCAACATACTTCTGTGTTAGCATGCTGCAATAATTGGGCACTCATATGAGCATTATCTGCTGTTATTCAGAAAACTAACTAACACTGAGCAAAAGTAAGGTCATAAGGAGGTCGGCAACGTACCTAATATATCACAAAGTTTTCAATAATCATTTGAAAATGTTACGTGCCCAGTGAAAAAATACTGAAGCTCACAACATTCGCATAATAAATACTACCTGCAGTGGTTGACTCACCAAAATCATTGCCGAGGTGCAGCTGTTGGTTGGAAACACGGCGATGTGATTTAGCAGGCACTGGATGATGGATGATGGGGCTGAGTCAGCACAATTCACTTCAGACCCAGTGATTTTAGGAAGCCAGTTAATTAAGCTGCTTGAATAATTTTGAACTCTTTTCCAGTTAGTTTCAACTAGATATTATTCTCACGATTGGTGTGCGGCTATCAATCCTGCTAGACCTGAGCGCTAGTCATACTACCTGCAGATTATTTAGTCTTTACCACCTAACCTAGTGGCCAGACTGCCTTTAACAACGTCTCAACTAGCAAAAGGAGAACATAACACTTACGACTGACGAAAGGTGTGTTTGTTGGCGATGATGTAGAAAGAGTGTACAACTAGACAACCACACCTCAGCGAAGCTGCCGAGTCCTTCTTTTTTGAAAATTATATTGACCACCATGTGTTTCGTTCAAGACGGATAAACAAATTGACCGCTGACAGCAAAACGGCTGAGGCCCAATTAGGTTGATAAACTTCTTTGATTCTCTACATCATAATTACGAGGGCCGGCAGGCACCACAAAACAAGATGCGACCTTATCAAGGCACACAAAGTGGTGTATAGCCCAATTCACTCGACGTGATTCAAATTATCAGTCTATGAAGCCAGTTAGTTGCGCTAATTAAACAGCTGGTTTCCGCTAGAAATAACACTCATTTTTGTTGTGTGGCCATCTAACCTGCTAAACTTGTGCTTTTGCCACATTGACTTCTGATTCCTTAGTCTGGACCACCCAACCTGGGGGCCAGGCTTCTGTTAACACAATCACAACCAGTAAGGGGGGGAATATAACACGACTATCCAAAGATGTTTAGAGGATGACGGTATTGAAGTTCAAGGATAGTACGAAGTGTATTAACGCGAAATCTGATATCCACAACTTCTATAGTATTCGTTTCGCGTAGACCAAAGGCAAAGCAAAACACCAGAACTGACCGTCCAAATTACAAGTTATATTTCGGGACCAAATTGGAGTGAGAGATGATTGCTTAACTAGCTAGGGATCGTGCACGAACGAATGAACGTGACACGACGGCTCACCAAATGGCGTGGATGCTTGACCGGAAGCCTTCAGCTAAACAAGTTGACTTAAATAGTGAGGGTCAGCATCCAATGTTCAGTGATGAATGCTGTGGGCGATAATTCTGGGGAATTATCTACCGCCGCAGATGTATTTATTGACGAAATTATAAAGAATATTGTGGTACAAAACCTCACTGCAGCTCATCGACCGCGCAATATCCCTTTAAATTCCAGTTGTTTGCAGTGTTATTCAGCCAGACAAAAAATTGGACGTTGAAGCGGAGATGACTGACTAATTTCTTTGATTCTGTACCCAAAAAGGACGCTGTGGTAAACCTATGAGAGTCCCTGAGAGAACTGCGCATCAGATGGCAGCAGCTAATGTTAGGACTAACTCCTTTTCCCTCATGGTTCTCTAATTATGAAATTCACCGTCTCCAGACGTGGCAACTACTCTGTCAGTTGATAACTTCAAGAGAAAGCTAGACCGTCATGTTTGCGAGCAGACTAGTTCTATGAAACTGTACTGATGCAACAAATATCCTACTTGTTTTAGTCTAATTTACCTTCACATAACTGCTCTATCATAGTTTTTATTATCACCTCTATCCCAACCAGTCGCCTCGTCTTGTGTTCTTCAACTTCTATTGTGTGTGCGCGCACTCACAATGCTTACTTGTCTAATACCCAGTCGTTTTGCCCGGTCTTACATTTGTATAATACAATATCTCCCTAGCTTCCCTCTCAAATCGCCTACGATAGCTTTTTCTGGTGGTTATTGATCTAGCCGGAGGATTTACCAGCGAAGCGAAATCTACAAGTCGCAGTAATGCCACTACCTTGTTACAAATCATGCATTCTCGACAAAATCGACTAATGAACCTTCTCTTAAGGCTTTCAGTAAGGCTGCCACGGTAGATGAGACAGAATTCCTCAAAGACCTAAAAGCTTTCATAAACACCAAGAGGCGAGTGACGAGAAATAATTCGTTCAATACAAGCTTGTCAAAAAGATAGCTGATACTGGAAATTTGAACTAAGGAAAAGATACATTTCCAAGCAAGCCACAAATCATATCAATGACACATTGTTATTATTGTATACTCACACCAAACTGTCCAAACTGATAGCCCAATAGCCCAATAATAGCATTACTTTGTCATACACAAACGCCAGTGCTATCTTTCGGTTCAAGGTCGCGACCTAGCCACATACCTTTGAAATTCGACGTGATGTCAGAAACTACTCCGCAGGACGATGATAGAAAGTCTAAGAAAGCATTACGAAAACTTCAAAGGGAAGCAGAAAAACTCAAGATTCATGAAACAGGAGATGATCAGGTAATTAAGCAATTATGAAGTTGATATGGAATACAATATGTAGAAAATCCCTGTGGTATCCACATTGACAAGTAATGGAGTACTTGAAACCACTGAGGCTTATGGTCTTCTCCCACTTCATCAGTCTCAGTTCACACAAGGACCAAAGTACACTGAATTGAGAGACTTATCTAAAGAATCTTTTATCGATCAACACGTTTGGGTTCGTGGACGTCTCCACAGAAGCAGAATGAAAGGCAAACTATGTTTCTTCATTCTAAGACTCCAAGACTACAGGGTGCAAAATGTACTTTCAGTTAGCGAAAAAACTCCGAAAGAGATGTTGGCATTCGTCTCCAGGTAATTTTTGGGGCTAAGATTTTGTTTCTGTACATATCTAGAGTGTACTTGTACTGAGTGAAATTACTTTTAAAATCTTACAGATTAAAGGGTCTTATTAAGCTAAACTAATTGTAGAGTTAAGGCAGAACAAATGGGTATTATTAAGGGGAAACATACCCTCATGAATGTACACCATAGTTCATCCACTGCTGCTATAATTGTATTTTGATATGGATGTCAACCTTTTGCATAGAATCAATTACTGAGTGACTCAGTAGTACTATTGGTCGAGGTTTCAGACTGTTTTCTACGTTGGGATGGGCATTATAACGCTTTGTACTTGTGTGATTTCCCGATCTGTTTCGATCGTCATCATTAACAACTAGCTCTACGGGGTTGAATTGCTACTAAATTCTTATTTCATTTGCTTGACTAAACAGTAACACAGGTTTAGGATTTTGTACTTTATCATTGGGTACCAAATACTTTGTCTAGTCCACCTTCGTTACCTTCATTCATCTAAGTGAACCACATCTCAAAGTAAATTTGGTGTCACGAAAGTCGTTGCACGAAATATTTCATTATCTGCTGTGTAGTTATGCAACGTTTTTTCCTGATTTAGATGCGTACATGTAGTGTAGGACTAACTAAAAATGTTATCGTGTTGTTTTCATATATTATATGAGGTAAACGCAGAATGTACATTCATTTGGGCTACTGCAATTCGAAACACCCAAAAGGAAAACAGAAGGGGTGAGGTGAAGTGGAAACAAACATCAACGATTAACGCTTTGCGAATCCAGGCTTTTTATCACTACTGAATACCTCCCAATTATTGGTGTGCACCAGTCGACATAATTCAGTCATCATGTACCTCCTGGATTTCAATAAATATATATATTATATGCTTGCAAATATTGTTGAATAGTCGCTATTAGTCCTATCACTTGTTGAGAGAGATTGCCCACACATAAATAGAGCACTGACTGTGACTATTATGTAAAACTCATAGTCTTGAAATTTATTTCATAATATATGTACCATTTGACAAGTAACTGGACCATTTCCAGTGAATCGTTTTGTTTGTGTTGGTTGTTCATTTTGCGTTTGTCATTCCTTTCTTTCACTACTTACAATTGACAAAAGTCTAGCCTAAGACTATTTTTGTGTGTGGCAAAACGCTGATAATAGTCTGTAAAAAATACATTATGTAGCTAATACTTACGTTCATTATTGACAAATGCATCATGATCAAAAGCATGTATTTTTCCTTCTTTTAAACCATGGCTTCCATTGCTTACAATGCCGTTTCCCCATGATCATCCAGGAGTTCAGACAGATGCAGATGGGACCCAGCGTCTCTAATATAGATTCTTAAGGGGAGAATAGAAATATAGACTGAGTTATATCTTATGATTAGAGCGCTACGCTAATTGCGGTCCTCCGCATAGTTCTCAATCTGGTTATTGGTGGTTTTATCATTTTCTGAATTGCCACAACTTAATTTAGTCTTCTGTTGTGATCTGTTTATCTGTTTTAACATAGCATTTCTAAAGAATCAGTGATTGATGTTTACGGAAAAGTTGTAAAAAGCCCTGTTATTATTGAAGGTTGCAATCCAGGCACTATCGAAATTCATTGCGAAAAGGTTTTTGTTGTGAGTTCTGCACTTGCAACTTTACCTCTGCAAATCGAAGATGCCATGAGACCAGAAGATGATGAAACGGTTAGTTTTACTGCTTTTGTGATGTGCAGTTTTACCCCCCCCCCCCTTTTCTACACAGATAACTATAAGCAGGAAACAGTCATGTGTAGCTTATTTTAATTTAATTTTTATGATTTAGGATTCTCTGAAACCTTGCTAGTTATTGTAATTGAGTGATCTTTTTCAGGTGAGAAAAAAGTATTTCGTACGCAGCATCATTCCAGAACTGGGAACTTGGGGATGTTGTGTAGCTGAAGAATTATTTTTCAATTTTTTTATGTTCTGCATCCTCAACGTTAAATCTATTCTAAGGGATTGAAAGGTCATTGTACTTTTGGACTGAAGTCGTGTAGATTCGTGGCACATTGACTCAACAGTATTGTGTTAACACTAAGGATTCTGTATCATTGGCTCAAGAGAGTGTAACGGTTCTTAAGCAAGGCTTTAAGAGCGAGGCGGTATCCAGTGATCTTTATGTCATGAGTTCAAAAAAGTATATCAAAGCTCATCCATGCATTCGAATAGTTTTACAGTGTACAGTTTTCCAAGTCTTGTGGTAAATAAAGTTATTAAGTCCAGTAGTATCATTACACAGGTTATATGTAGCATCATAAGGGTGTTCTACTTTTTTTTAACGCGATGAAATTTTCATAGCGACGTGTAACTGTATTTCATCAGTATGTCATTTATCTGTTCTGTGCACATATTAAGAGACAGCTGATAAATTTGTTCTTCCTAAAATGCAGCTTTTGTTTACCAGTGTTTAAACTGTTATATAATCCAAATCCCTCAAAATTCTGTTTTATTTTTCATTATCAACTTTATTGTTAGACATTAAGTCGAGTCAATCAAGACACTCGTTTGGATAACAGGTGTATCGATCTGCGTACTCCAGTAAATCAAGCTATTTATCGAGTTGAAGCTGGTGTAGTACGCTTCTTTATGGAGTATCTTACAAAAGCTGGTTTTGTAAATATACATACTCCCAAGATGATTTCAGCAGCTTCTGAAGGAGGTGCCAATGTATTCAAGGTGTCGTACTTTTCTGGAAGTGCCTATCTCGCTCAGTCACCTCAGTTATATAAGCAAATGGCTATAGCTGCCGACTTTGAAAAAGTATGTTTATTTTTATGGTTATCATGTCAAGTTTTAAAGGCAAAGTAGGAATTACTATGCCAGAATATAAACAGTAATGATGTCTTGTATTCAGACTAGTGTTATGGACTTCGTCTATCAACCAATATGCTTACTTCTTCATATGGTTATTTCAACAGGGTTCAGTCAATAAATGCATGATCTTATAACACACTTCCCAGATAAATTGTATTTTTTTTGTTGCTTTATGTTTCACGTGGGACATAGGGCTTTAAGTTTCAGCTTTAACTTTTCAGTAGCAATGGTGTTGTTTTTACGGGGTAGGGTTGCTAACCTTGTACTCGACCTTCCCTTTTTACTATGCTTACTACCGGTTAAACGAGGTTTTGCAATGAGTCGGCTGGTAATCAAACCCGGACCACGTTGGCGAGCTTTCTACTATTGAACCGCCAACTTACTGTATTTTATTTATAAACTAAATTGTGTCTACTTTTATGACTTAGTAGTATCTTCTGGTTATCCAAATTTTAGTGTTTGTGGAAGTATTTAAACTTACTACTCGTTGGTGGGAACTTTCATGTCTAAGCCAATATTTGGAGTGTTCGATCTCCAGAGTAAACTAAGACTTCTCATAAATTTTTGTATATTGTTTCATTGAATTTGAAATTCTTGATGTTAACTAAATGCAGTGTTTGCAAAGTGTTATCGTTCATCATCATTTTAGTGCTGCCTCAAATTGTGTGTACTGAATTATCATAACCAGGAATCAGCATTACAAATTATTTCTTATCATTCTCATTGAATTATGGCAGCTTTAAAAACTTCACTGCACATCTTAGTAATTGTAATTTATTGTATATTTATAAGAGTGGAGTGGTGTATGTTAGTTTATAACTGTGTTAACTGAACTGTTGCTTTGATGAGAAAGCCTAGTAAGTTTATTCAATGGAGTTATGCACGGCAAATTGTGTCAAAAACTTCATCTGATAACTGACGTTGTATTATTGTATGCTATCTCAAAGATGCGAACCGAAGTGAATTTATGCTGCACTACAGTCTACCCTTGAATATTTCTCACTAATTCGTAATTGAGTGTGATTTTAAAGTTAGTAAAGATTGTGGTTTTCCCACGAGTATCTGTATAAATATTCTCTTCTAACCAACTAGCCGGAAAGTAACTTCAAACTAATCATTAATTGCAACAGGTCCTTACAAATAGGCGCAAAATTGTAATCATCAGTTTCACAGTCGAACAAAATGTGAATATGTTGTTGTTGGAACTCTACACCCTCGTAAGAAATGTTAGTCTGGAGAACACTTTTATCAGAATAATCAAAGTCTTTGAATAGCAATATAAATGCTCTATTCAAATGTCGCACTGTTGTTAGTGTCACGGAACTATTCTGTAAAGATCGAAATTTATAAATCATATGTGACTATTTATAAAGGTTTAATAGGTATGAAACTATGGTTACCGATCTGAGCTCAGTTAAAAGTCATACATCTTTTGATTTAAAAGGTGGATTAACACTTTTTTTCATAAATAGGCAGTTAGTAACGATAAAAAACCATTATAAGCATATACCAACAGCATTAAGATGTATACAGTTCGTTCTCTATAAAACAAAATAATTGAGCAAAGAATATCCTTTTCGATAATTTCCTCTTCTGGCTCTACAATTATAATATATATGTTTATATACATAGAATATTCTAGATTAGTAGTCAATAACAATATTAGTGTTTTTTAAATAATATCGATTTGTAAAGTAAGATCAATAGAATTACAGTTCATTAAAGATGCTTAAATTATAATAATAATAAAGATATAGTAGCAAATAGAATATCAACTAAAATTAGGGAAATTCCTACAAAAATTGAGGATCATTCGAACCTAGATGGCCAAGGTAAGAATAATGTCTGAACTAGCTTCTTTTGGACGCACAAATTAGGCTTCTTAATATGGATCCCAACAGCCTCAGCAATATTTAGTAGTCGAACTCTTAAGGCGAAATTGAGATTTGTTGGTATGCGGTAAATGACCCTGAAAGCCTGGTTAACATCAATCTTGTGTTCTGTATCCACAAGATGAGATAGAATAGCGCTGCGGATAGATTTTGTTTGTCCTTTACTTAACCACGCAGGGTGATGTTCGGAAATTCGACGAATAAGACCAAATGCTTATTTCAGAGAGAATGAAGCTAGATTATCTGTCTTCCCACTGGTACTTTGTTCCTCACATGATCTGGTATGCAGAATAAACAAGCACAATTAGTCATTGAAAATGTTAAAGGTTGGAAAGTCTGAAATATTAGATCGTAATGAAACACCTATCCAGAGAAAAGGTTAACAAAGGAGTAAAACAAACAGTTTCACAGTGATTACCTTTGCTTAGATAAATAGAAACGTAAACAGTAACGTTGACGGTTTTTGTAACAATCAATCGGTTCCACTTTTTACTATTTGTAATGATATTTCCTAATCTAATCTAATTATACTTTTTAGTAGCGACTATTCACACATTCATGTGCACTTCTGTTCTCTAATTCCTTCAGCATAACGCTCAAACATTTCTAAACCTTAAAGTTTGATTAATTTGCATTATCTTATCTATTTTATCGTTTCTTCTCCTTATCTACATTTTTAAAGTACAGTTTTGTTTTCCATTAAAAAGTCAATATTGCCAATAATCACTATCTGGGTTTGAGTAGAAAAAATTAACAATTTATTTATCTCTTTTGGTGTTGATGTGCTCTATGAGCTAGATGGTTTGATGTGAAGTCAGCTGACATTAAAGTTAGTGCTGTGGTTATCCAGAAGAACAAATGAAAGCTTCTTAATTTAAACCATTCAGCTCAAAGGACACAGCACCAAAAACCCATCATCCTCTTGAGCCTACAAATTTCCTTTATTATTATTATTTATCTGTTTCATATACAGGTATTCACAATAGGCGCAGTATTTCGTGCTGAAGATTCTAACACCCATCGACATCTAACAGAATTTGTCGGTTTAGACTTAGAAATGGCCTTCAAAAATCACTATCATGAGGTAGTCGATTTGATTGCAGACATGTTTGTTAACATGTTCAAAGGATTACAACGCGAGTAAGAATTACTGTAATTTAAATATTTGTGAGATACTTAAAATTGGTATTTGTTTTTTTCTCCTGTATTTACTTTGTGTTTAAGCAGAACAGTGCTTACTTAATTCACAAGTAAGCTATCTCTTCTTTGAACTGTAATCACACTGTTTGGTTAATGTTCATTCAGTCATATTTGGCCGATGAACATTAGTAAGAGGCATTATTATTACCTTGGGTTCCGAGTGGAGCATAGGGCTTCATCAGCATGTCTCCATTTCATCTTCTCTGGTCCTCCTTAGCTGACCCGACTATTGCCCATAAGTTTTCGTCTCCTCCTTGCACGATCTTCTCCATGTCACCTTCTAAGTGACACCCAACTCTCTGTTTTCTATTTGGGTTCCACTTGAGGGCCTGCCGCGCGATGTCATTCAACGGTCTTCTCAGAGTGTGTCTTCGTCACAGCAGCACAGTATTTCCCCGACTTGGTTATAAAAGGAGGGTTTAACATTATAAACTGAGATGGATTTCAATGCTACAAAAGTTTGCTAAACCGATCATTACTTGGTCACGTATTATACTCACAGAATATATACAGAATCTTGCAAACTATGTCATCCTATATACTACTGGGGGATGTTTATGTGGTATACAGGATTTGTTGTTGTCTTAGTTTCTGCAAAGCTGAATCAAATCACTCCAAAACGTACGCTTTCATCACTTATGTATGAGTGAAGCAGAGTTCCCTGTTGCTTACCCTTTCTGGTCATCTAATCTTGAATATGGGCCGGAGGCAACAGGCGGTAGGAGGCATTAGTTTATCTAATCACAAATTTCTTTTCTTTATGGTTTGTGTGTACTTTCAGGTGTTTCATGTTCGTCCTGGTTTCAAAATATGATTTATGTCATGTCAAACTTCAATACAAGATATTTAATTCCGTTTTTCATGTTATTTGCTTTAGGTTCCAAACTGAAATTCAAACAATATGTCAACAATATCATTCTGAACCTTTTGAATTCCTGGAACCCACGTATGTTTATGCCTCTTGTGTGTCACATTTATAGACAAGCATTATGATATAAATTATGCAAATATATAGTAGCGGATATGTATCAATCTTAAGAAATTCAATATACACCTTGCATGTGTCTGAAATTTCCTTGTGTGTCTATTTGAAGGTTACGTTTGCAGTATAAAGAAGGCATTCAGTTGTTACAAGATGCTGGTTGGGAGATCGGGGAATTAGATGATTTGAGTACACCTGCTGAAAAGTTTCTTGGAAAGCTGGTTAAGGAGAAATATCATACAGACTTTTATATTCTTGATAAATTTCCATTGGATATCCGGGCGTTCTATACCATGCCACATCCTACTGATAAAGTATGTTACCTTATTTGATAAACAAATTATGGGGATTTTATTGATAATTTTAATTTTCTTGATAAGTCATTCTTGTTTTCTATTTTCGTTTGCTTAAGGCGTTGTGGATCGACCTGTTTTATGGAAGCACATTCTTAATGCAAAATGCAGCTCCTTTTCGTATTCACGGGAATTAATTTCCTGGTTTTAATTCACATATGAATGTTGCTCAACAACCACTTGCAATCCCTTGCGGTTGGTATTGAGTCATTCCTATTGTTTTAGGGTTAGTGACACTAGGTGGCTACCCAAACCTCGGTAGGTGGGATGGGATTCGAACCCGTGACCCCGTAGTTGGAAGTCGAGTGCTTGGATCAATGAGCCAAAACTTTACGATTCATACAGCAGCTGTTTGACAGTCAGTCTCTAGGCATTTCATGTAATAAAAGCGTTTTCACTAGTGTCTTGATATCCCACATCTTCGTTTTCAAATATTACTATAAGAGTATTTGGTAGATATTTGTTTATTCCATTTTAATTACTTCAAAACACATCCAATTCGTTGATAACATTATTTGACGACCCGATTTAGAGTTTTACCAGGAATTCCGCTAAATCGGACCTAATGACAGGTCACTATCGATTTTATTGAAGACAAAATGCTCATTGATTGCACTTTGCTGTTCTATGCTATAGAGAATCATGCATATCTAAAACCGGACAGAAAAGAATTCCCGGTCTTGTGCACTTTAGGGAGACCATATTTAGTGGTGTCATACTGTTGTCGAAATTGCTGGATTTTCAGCGTGGAACTGTGCACAAAAGTATGGCCGTTCAGGTCGCCACTTCATAAAGCATTCATAAATATAGAGTGAGAGGAATGCAAAAGAACTGTAATATACTGAAATGTATGAGAGGAAGGATAATTACATGGAGAATAATGAGAAAGCAGTGGATCCGGCAGTTTATGAATAGTAAATACATCTGCACCATGGAGAACGATTTCCAACCAGATCACTAACATTCTCCAGGCATTGGGTTTTAGTGTCTCGATGACCCCAGACAAGTAGTCTACACCTTCCTTCGTGGCTCAAATCAACAGCCAAAAGGTTCAGGGATTGATGCCAAGTTTTGATTTGGCCACCTCAAACTCTTTTCCAACCTATCCATATATCTGCTAAAATTGTTCAACGAAGGTGGTAGTTCAGCACGCATGGCATGTATCTTAACCATATCAATAGATGCGATCTCACAGCTTCATCGATTGACTTGCCTTTCTTTCCCAATACTCTACGTCTAACCTCAACGTTTCTCATCAAATCACATCACTTTACACAGGAGACAGGACTCAAACGTCTGTGATCAAAGACAGCTAGCCTCCTTTCGCAACGACTGTCTCACAGCCGTAAAAAAGGTAGAGCGAACTGCTACACGATACACACTTCCTTTAATCGATAGCCGGGTATCACGCCTACATCAGAGGTGGTGTAAGTCGGCAAGCGCCTCACAAGCCTTTTGTATCCGTGCTGAGATTTCGTCAGCAATCACTCGATTAGAGCTGCTGACTCAACCCTCCAAATAAGTTAACTGGTCAACACAACCATTCCACTTCCTATCTTGAAACTAGGAATCGGTGTTCTGAGCTGAAGAGAATTTCCTTTCAAGAGATTTGACAAGACTAGTTCTGAATCACTGAAAACTGGGGAGTGCCAGGCAGCTGTTTTGTCCTGCTCTGAAACTCTTCGACAGCACGTGCCCATGACCACATTGAGGATCGTACCCAGAACTATCAGGTTATATGGCTAGCCCTTTGATCATTCATTCACTGGCATGAAATATAGTGACCCATGAATTCTAACTTCTCATAACTATTTGCACACTGTATAGTCTTCTCACCATTACTATTGAACAAGTCACTGTGATTGGTTTGTTGTAGTCAGAATTATTCTTCATCTCCTAATAGTTTATTTTTCTAACCCCATAAGATTGTTTTAATTTTGCTACATAAACTTTTGAATATTCTCTGGATCATCTTCACGATGTAGAGCTCTTGTTGTTGGTGAAATTTTCATAAAACACGTCAACTGAATTCTTTTCCCAAACATATAAGACAGAGGTTAACTAGAAGAAGTGTTATACAACAACCGATGTGTGATATACAGTTCAGGTAGTCGACTAACTTGCTAATCAGTAGAAAGCTTTGCATAAAAAGTTCATCAATTCAAGAATCTAGTAAAACAAGTACTGTCTAAAAATAAACAGTATGTATATCGTCCAGTTAGTTATTAATGGTACTGAATAATTTAGTAATGGGTGAATAAGTGGTCGCAACTGTCGTTTCTAAGGGATTTTCATGTGTTTCCAATTATTCGTATTCATTTCTGGTTTAGTTATTCTACTAGAACTGTACGATAGCTTCTTTATTGCCTAGTGAAATCAAATGTACGGACTTTTGTGTTCGACTAATTTTTGAAGTGTGTTTTTTCGTTTCACTGCCACTGACTGACTGGGTCACTGAAATATCTGATTTTGTTTTTCCAGATATACGTACACTATTTCGTTCGATTCTTGTGAGTGACTGATGATTGACTGACTGGTTTCAACGTAGAACTTTGCACGATGTGCAGCAGTTCAAGCTACCACACTTGACGTAGCACGCAAAGCAAGAGAAGAGAGTAAAAAGAGATTCTTCAAAAGAGAGATAATAAACAGAAGTGTGAGTGAGGAGAAAAATAGTAATATAGAACAATATAAATTTTATTGGATATTATAAGTCACAAGGGGTGGATGCATCTGCGCTAGCCATTGAGAACGATTTTTAGCCATATCACCAATTGTCTCCAGCCTTCATTGGTTTTTACCATCCCGAGGACCCCAACCAGGAAGTCTACAACTCCCTACGTGGCTGGCTTAAACTAACTGTTGTGGATTTCATTGACTTATGAGGCCATGTTTTGGTTTGATCACCACTGTCTCTTTTCCAACCTGATCCTTTGTCAGCTAACATTATTGCGAGTAAACGTAATCGTTTGAGATCTTGTTGTTTGAGATGCATTCTGATTTTAGGTTTTCTTTTTTCACTTGCAAACAATCATTCTGTTTAATTGGTGGATAGCGACTAGCAGTGGAATCCAGGATGCGCATTTCGTCCTATTTGGGACTCGTCATCTCGATGTACCTGCATTCCCAGTGAGTAGATTCCAATGCTAGTCACCATCCACCGATTAAATTCTAATTACATGCCCAGACATCGTCGAAGCATCTGCACAAGAAGTCGACATGTCAACCTGAAACCGAGCACTTCGGTCCAATCAATCGATGGGAAAATCTAAAACTGAATTAAATAATTGTTTTTTAAAAAAAACTTAATTTGACACTTCTCAAATTGTATGAGTAATTTTAAATTTCTTCAACGATTTCATAGTGTATCCATTTTTCATATCGAAAGTAGCCTACAGCAAAATGCCTTTTCTTATCTACCAAATAGAATTATTCCAATTCGTATGATTTCTTCATGCGTGGAGAAGAAATAATGTCTGGTGCACAACGTATTCATGATCCAGTCCTTTTAACTGAACGTGCTAAACATCATGGGGTTGGTAAGTTACAGTGTTATTCGATTGTATTCGAACACTTTTTTATAATTAGTGTGTTAATCAGAGATAACTACTGTTAAACAATATATTACGTTAGATTCTTCATTTGATAATGAGTAACCGGATTTTTTTAATGAAAAAACAACTACGAGCACGATTAAACTTTGTGAAAAATACTCGTTACAGTGATGAAAGTCACTGCACAAAATTAATCGTGCCTCCATCATTTGCCTAATTGCGTTTTCAGGATTTTATCATAAACTGGCGTTGGTTAGAGGACCAGTGGAATACCTGGGAGTACTGTACAGCTGTTTCATCCTAGTTCGGGACTCTTCGTCAGTACGCACCCACCATAGAAGTTCGAACCCAGGACCTTTTGGTTAGAAGGCGAGCTTGTAGACCATTAACCCAATGGTCCATGAATTCTGCCAATTCATGATATAGCGTTTTACTTGACGATAAATATTTTCGATCAGAATATGGGACTCATTGGCCTAAATACTTAGTAGGTTCAAATTCGAAATCTGCAATTCACTCAGTTCAAGGGGAAATTTCACCACAGTTTCCTTTGGAAACCTTTGGAATTTTTCAGGTCACAAAGTGTGATCTGCTTGATGCCATAAATACGGATCAAGAAAGCAAGCATAAACGCATTACGCTATACTATTCAATTGACATGAGTAGTTGGATATTACTCTCACATCAAACAATAGTACTTGCTAGTTAGATCGAGGTTATCTAAACACCGGACGGTCGTTTCTCTTGTTTGGGGTTGAGCCTAATCAGCAGCGGCATACCTGGTTTAACTTAACTCAAAGAACCTAATCAGTTTAAATCATCCATATTACCAGTTCGCCCAAGTATCTAGCTGGATGTTTTCTTATTTGTAGTAGTTTTTTGTGTATGTTATAACTGAGGTCTCAAAAAGTAAAGATACTTTAAGTATATATGACCGTTAAAAACAAGACATTTCTTGTATGAGGAATACCATAAATTTCACATATCTTAACCGTCATTTCGTTCTTCTTCTAATCCACGTTTACCATCGTCGCTGTCAATATAATACTTGTGTTTAAATGAGGTGACGTAACTACTCCATCATTTAAGATTGAATCTTATCTTGTGATCACTATACACCCTAATTATCGCATATATTTTAGGCGAATGTATATCCAATATCGAATTTAGCATTATTACATGACAGTATTATTTACCACACTTCTTATCATAATTTCAAGGTAGATGTTAGAAATAAGAGAAATAAAGGCGATACCTTCAAATTTGTAATAAGCTTAAAGAAAACAGAAATAACTCTAGAAAATGGTACATAGTTGACAGGGTTATGTTCAGATCAGACTGTTCATTTGAACTGCCCCTTCGAATGAATATAATTCGAATTCTGTGTATAGTGTATAAATTTGTCATCTCTTTCAGTTTTCACAGTTCATATATGATTATCCGCTTTTTGTTTATAGATGTAGAAAAAATTAAAGCATATATTGATGCTTTTCGTTATGGATGTCCTCCTCATGCTGGCGGTGGGATCGGTGAGTTATAACATTTTTTATCTTCTACATGCTAACTACCATATTGGACGATGGTACCAATGTTTAATACAGATACTGGGGAATTAAAAAATTCACCACGCTTAAAATGAGTATGTGAAGGGCTGTAAAACATTTATAATTGTAGTATTTGCATTCGCTTGGGTTCCGAGTGGAATATAGAGCTCCGATGGCACATCTCTATTCCATCTCGTTCTCTTCAATCTGTTTTAGCTAGCTCTATGATTGCCCACAAGCTTTCATGTCCTCCTCACACTGTCTCCTCCATATCACCCTCTAAGTGACGCCCAACTCACCGTTTCCCATCCAGGTTCCACTCGAGGGTATGTCTGGCGCGTGACGTCAGTGAACAGTCTTCTCGGAGTGTGTCTATTCTCTTCTGCATATTTTTTGGCTATGTTTTGATGGTTGGTTCGCTGCTCTTACCCTTTTAGGGCATCTGATCTTCAGTATCGAACCAACGAATACGTATATTGGTGGAATTCTGTAGTAGCCTGTTGGGGATGCTGTTCGTGAAGTGCCAAGTCTCTGAACCACACAGCACTGATGTGATATTAATGTTGGAAATTCGTGTCTGGTTCCTTATACTGAGTGCAGTAGATTTCCACACTGATTCCAGAGCAATAAAGGTCTGTCCTGCCTTCTCAATCTTTTCTTTGACATCTTCATCTGTGCCATCGCCCGTAGTTGAAATGATGCTGCCTAGACTTCTCCTTTTGATAGTGACTGATATTTGTTGTTGTTGGTTAGGCATCTTCATTACTTCTGCATTATTTATGTTCACTTAAAGTCCTGCCTTTTCTGCCTCTACTGCAAACTTGTTGGTTTTCGCCTGTAAGTCCTCGAGTTTGTCGTGGCATAAATCGTCCACGAAGTTCAGATATTCTAGGGTCTTCTTATCAGTCCAGCGTATTCCTGTCTTCTCACTCCCCACGTACAGTTTGACGCATAATCCAGTCCACCACAATTAGGGATGTCATCAGTGGATAGTAGGGAGTCTTGTCTTCTCTTCAAAGGCTTCGACGAGCTTTTCTTTATAAATCATCTGACATGTGGCGTCATCATATAAATGTTAAATGAGGTTTATAAAGATCTGGCGTACTCCGTAGTGCTGAAGTGAATTCCAGATTACTTCATGGTCGACACACAATTTGCACAGATCTTCGTGTTGTGGTACTTCTGGACTTCATATCGTGTTTCTTTGTCTTCCTTTCACGTCTCCCATGTATCTCCATAACTCTGTATCATTTGCTTTCTTTGATATCAAATCTATCTCGTTGCTGATTGATGTTTTTATACTGATGAACACCTCTTTATATACTACTGATAAATCTTATCAGTAGCATTCGCCACAGTATATAGGTTTTTTTATAAATATTTAGCGCACAAAGGTTGACTTGGGTTTTAACTGCCTATTAATTACGTGGTTTTGCTTATTTTACCTTGAATTTTAATCGTGGAAATGTATTTCATCTTTCGTGTTGCATTTATTTTTACTGTTAACTGTAATCTCGCTTTTTCTTATAAATTCTCTTTTCCTGCAAATGCAAATATCTTTATGAGTTCTAATCATATAATTTGTTACATTTAATTTCAGGTCTTGAACGAGTAACTATGCTCTTCCTTGGGCTTGACAATATCAGGAAAACATCAATGTTCCCACGTGATCCAAAACGATTGACCCCTTAATTTGTTGTTATCCGTTTTTTTTAATTTTCAAATAATTACTTTTCATGGCTGGTTTTAACTTTTTCATTACTGTGAAGGGTGGTGGGTAGTTCTACATTCACTGCAGTTGAAGTGTTCCTTGTGTCAGTTAACTAGAATTAGATTCGCGATATTGTATCTGAATTCGTGGTTGGTTGTTTGTATGTTTGCTGAGCGTTCTACATTTTTAAAATCCTACATGGTATTTTGTTCTGTTTAGTAAAAGAGCTTCACTGTTTTCTCAGATGGAGTTATATATTAGATGGTTGGATGCAATCGGCAGGAAGCCGTGCACCTAGGTTTCGTGCTTATCGGCACTCGTCAGTCAGGCGTACTTGCACTGGAGGAGGAACTGATGTCCGCTCATAGATTCTCAATATTGACCTATTATTCCTAGTCTATTCTTTACTTGAACATGTAGAGAATGTTTGTTCTCCTCTCCAGCAAGGTGGTTATATTGCGGGAAAAGTCAACAGAACCTATCCTGCAGCAAAGTTGGTTCCCGTTTATCGGACAACGGGTTGCTCTTTGGTGCAACCAAAAGTCGACAGATAGCCTTTTTATGTTAGCTCTAATTGTGTATACAAATTTACATATATCTACGACAGCAGTTACACTGGGATAATAGAAAGAAGGGTACTCCGAGTTTTTGAACACCTACCAAACGGCATAGGTCTCAAGGGAACAAATGCCTTCAATAATGTGATTGCCAGGCGTGTCGTCGATAGGGGTTGTGAAGTGCACATCGTGAAGTCATTTAAAACTATCAATGGACAAAACAGTTCTATTCTCCTCAAGTTTGCCGAAGCAGTTGCTGTCAAACGCTTGTAAACTGATTTATGTGTTCAGAAAGAAGCAGTTATCAGTTTTGCCTTGTCCTGATGACTGGATGTCCTCTCTCTCTCCCTCTCTTTTATTTGATTATGCAATCTCTGGCTTCAAACTCTTTCCATTCTCTGTAATATAGTTTTGCTTGTCATTTGTTTCTATGATTTGTGTTGAACTTTTTACTAAACTTGTTGATTACTCATCATCTTATCCACTTCTTGTCTTTATAAAGCAAGTCCTCCGCCACTGTATCTTAGCACTTACTTTTTATTTAAACTTGAACCTTTTGTTTGTAAGCTATGTACGTGTAATTTCTGCGCACTGTTTATTCAGTTTGGAGTCTTCTGTCAACTGACATCATGTCACATTTGCAAGTATGTGAAAACCGTTCTGTACGTAAAGTTAATAATTTCTTCAGGTTGTATACAGCTGTTGAGAAGCCGATGAAATAAAGGATGGTACCATCTTATTCTGTGCAAACCTTTGTTTTTGCTTTATTCAAATTCATAAAAGGGAATAAGTGTATGAAGTAGGCTTTAAGTTAGTTGGTAATTTATTATTGCTTATTGTTGGATTCCAAGTATTGATTATATTCATTAATATATTCCATTTCGATGAAGACACTGACAAACAAACATCTTAGCATGTTTGGTATACGATTCGACCCAGTCGAATTTAAGATGATGCTCCACGACTGGTCTGCACCGACTCTCAGTTTAAAGTGACTGGGCATCTTTGAACACTTCACTTATTCGGGAAGTTGTATCAGTCTTAATGGACTGGTTGCTGGCGAAATCTCGGCACAGACACGAAAGGCTCGCGTGGCATCTGTCAACTTACGTCATTTCCGGTGTATACGGGGTGGGTATCCGACTACCGATCAAAGGACGTATTGTTCAGCGGCTCACTTTGTCCTTTTATACGACTGTCAGGCACGGCCGATGAAGTGGAGGCTAGCTCTCTTTGATCATAGATGTATGTGTCTAGTCTCCCGTGTTAAGTGGTATAATTTGGTGAGGAATATCGAGGTTGGAACACTTGTTACGCATTCCAAGTCACCGCCTTCCGTTTTGAGTAGTGGTAGATTGGAAAAGAGTCAGCGGGAGGTGGTCAAACCAAAATGTGGCATCAACTCATTAAGTCCTTTGAACACTGGGTTTGAGTTACGTAGGGTCCTCGAGACTTTAAGAATCAATAGTTGGGGATTTTTGGTGATACGGTTCAAGATCGTTCTCATTAGGCCGAATGTTTTCGCTCTTTATAAACTGTCGGATCTATTAAGTTCTCCACTGATTCATTCTTCCATTTATCTCCTTTCATTGTGGTCCCTCTATACATTTATGTGTGCTTCATGGAGGTGTCGACTTGAACTGTTGTATTTCTGTGATAAGTTCTGCATTGGAAAACATGTTAGTCTACTTTGGTAGCATAAGAAATGTTTTAACCTTATTGAAATAATGTTTGAATACCACAGATATGCGCGTAGAAAGCGCTTCTTTGAGTTTTCGGGTTTGTAAATGATTTAAACGTGATTGAAAATAAGTTTCTGAGGCTGTCCTTATGTGCATGTTCCTTTGTATACATTCCTCTCCGAAGCTACACATGTGGACCCATTGTTTTTCGTGTTTCCTCTAAGTGTAGATACTCTTATCGCTTAGTTATGTACTTAAACAAACCTAAAGTCATACTTAGACATCTACATCTAGAATGAGGGTAAATTCATTCAGCAATCTGGTCACTTCTATTGAATACACACTTAATGCTTAGTGTAGATAATTCGATTCCTTATTTTGATGTAGATTCCAATTGATGGAGATACTGAAACTCAGCTGGTGGGCAAACGTAGGTAAACATACTTATTAATCAATAGATTGGGAGATGATGTGTTTCGCCGCTCGTCATATTTATTTTTTAAGAGCAACATCCTTTAGTTGCCTAAAAACTGCATATTAGGACCTGCTGTTCAGCATCGAAAGAAGTAAGACTTTTGAAGTTCCACGTCGATGAATCTGACAAGAAGAAATTTCTACGGATTCATTGGTTTTCTGATTATTATGATATAATGAGTGCAAAGGATTTGTTAATGTGAACTGATTACTGCTTAAGTATACGCAAAGTAAACTGCAGGATTCATTCCACAGACATTTCGTTTGAGTAATGAAGTATAATAATGATAAAATCTTTATTCTGGACAGTACTTATGAAACGTACAGAATTTTCAGAGGAGTTTATTGCATGATATTTTCCCTTCGTACAGTATCTTCAAGTAAAATATTAATTGACAGTATATCCTTCCTGTGACACAATAGTTTCTGAGCTGAAACACAAACCATTCTATTATGATATGTCTGCTTTGTCTCCTTCAAGAAATCCACGATATCTAGTTGAAAGCTAATTGTAAGATGTTCAGAAGTACATTTTGAGACCCAAGGACATAAGTGAAGAACAGTTATGTCATGTATTGGAATACGTTGCCACCCACAATCAGGCCTTTCCTCAAGTTTAGTAGGAACTTGCGAAACGGAAGCGAAAATCGATATAGACAGATTTGATTGGCTGTTGGCTAGGTGGTCTCCTATTGGTATATCTCAATAGAGATAGAAGTTTTTGGTAGCCCGATTCTTAATCAGGCCGTATTTGTTTTGTCAGGAAGTATGAATCTGAATGAACTCCTGTGTTGATTGGATAAGAAGGCTGGTCACATCAAATTAAGGACTGTTACGAGTAAAGAAATTTCAACTCTTTCTATGAATCACATCTAAGGGTAAAATACTGTTACAATAATTAATTGAAAGAAATACCACAACTGATGAAGAATTCATTTCAGCTGGAAACCAGGGAGTAATGAATAGCTCTCTTGTCCTATTTTGGGATTCTTCATCGGTAGGCATCCATGGTCCCATCGGGAGTCGAACTCAGTACCTTCAGGTTACACGGTGAGCTCGTTGGGCATTTAACCACTGGGACGGAATCAAATGGCCCACCAATCTTAAATATGCTAATTCGCGACATATAGTGCGACCGCCAACCAATGTCATGGGAAAGTACTTGTCTTCATACCCCTCAGTTCATGACTTCCTGCCGGAACTTCAGGTAACTTCTTGTAGTCAATCACTATTAGTGAGCATTAGATTAGTTTTCAAGACAGAATTTATTCGAACTGATAAGTTAAGTAAGAAAAGAATAGATGAGTTGAAGACTTATTAATAGATAGGTAATGCGTTAATAATAAGTATCGAACAGGTTTCTTATCTGGTGATCGACTAAGAAAGCATTTTCTGTCTATTTAATTCACTCAATTTTAGTATTGTACATTTAACCCTAGCTTCATGCATTTATTCCCCTTGATGAATTTGAATAAGGTAAGAACAACAGTGGTTTGTGTAGAATAATATGGTACCATCATTATTTATTTCGTTGGCTTCTCATCAGCTGCTTACAGCCCAAATAAATTATGAGGTTTATGTAGGGAAAAGTTTTAACATACTTGCAAATTTTTCATGATATCAGTTGACAGAAGGTTCCGCAATTAGTGAACAGTACTCAGAAAAGTGCGCTTATATAGTTTACACACAGACAGTTCAAGTTTAAACAAATGTATGCATACAATGGTAAAAGGGTTATGTAATAAAGACAAGAGGTGCGTAAGATGCAGAGTGACTTATAAATTAGATAACAATATACTGAGTTCAACTCAAATCATAGAAACAATAGATAAGCAAAATTACACTGTATCAAGAGGAGTGAGGTTAAAGCCGAAGACTACGCAATCAAACGGAAGAGAGAATGAAGACATCCAGTTACCAGAGTGAAGAAAGACTGATAACTGCTTCTTTCTGAACACATAAATCTGGTGTCAAGCGTTTGATAGAAATTGCTTCGGCAAACTTGAGGAGAATCGAGCCCCTTTGTCTATTGATAATTTTAAAGGATTTTGCGACTTCCACCTCATGACCCGTGTTGAGGACAAATCTGGTAATAGCACCATTATAAGAGTTCGTTCCCTTGAGACATAGGTTTTTCAGCACATAATCAGAAAATCGAAGGTGTACCCTTCTCTCTGTTCTCCCAATGTAACTGCTCCTACAGATACATGTTAATTTGTATACAGAGTTCTAGTTAACATGAGAAGGGTATCTGTTGACTTTTGACAGCACCAAAGAGCATGTTGTTCGATGGACGGGAACCAACTTAGCTGCGATAGCCTCTGGCTAGGGACGTACTCAGTCTTCTGTTGACCATTGCTGCAATGTTTTCACCTTTAAAATCTAGTTGAATGAAGACAGGCTTTTTTCCAACTGTGATTTGTTTGATGTTTGAGCCTTCACATCTTCCATATTTGTTAATGAATCTTTGAGGATAACCGTTGTTTTTCAACACCTTTTCGAGAATCGTAAATTCTTCCTCTAGTTTCTCTGCAGAGCATATTCTCCTCGCTCTACAGTACAGTGTCTTTACTAGTGCTCGCTCATAGCTATTTGTACAAAAACTATTAAAATGTAAGTATTGTCCATTCCATTGTCAGCTTTCGGTAAATTGACCTCTGGAGACTACCATCTTCTAGGCGTTGCATGGCAATGTCAAGGAAATGGAACTTTTCATCATTTTCATGTTATATAGTAAA